AATATATTTACTGAGAAAAATGGTGACATGTTCAATACTTATTTTACCTGCTGTATGTAATCTAAACTATTGCAAAACTCCAGAAATATTGCTACAAAATCTCAAGTGGTGGCCAAAGTCAACAGTTTGCGACACGTTCAGGCATGTTTTAGGAATAAACTGCAGAGATAAAGTGTTCTCAGAAAACAAGGGGAGATACAGTTCGAGTTGTAGCCATCTGGCCGTCAATTAAATCCCAAATGAGTTCAGAAAATTCCTCAGAGCACACTGGGGCATTTAAGGATTTAACCCTCATCACAGCGGCAYATAATTCACTAATGTTGTGTCACTGGACTTTGGTGCTGGAAAAAATAAAAATAAAACACTGCATTAATCAATTGTTGCCTGTTATTTTGCCTTTTCACCTTCGATTAACAGCAGAGACAAGAGAAAATCTGTATGAGTTAGCGATCTCAGTAAAATAAATAAAATTGACAGGAAATAAAGGGAATAATACAAACTCCTCCGCAGCTGGTTAATGTGGTCCAGAGGAGATAAATGTCAATGAACTACTCAGTTTCTTTGACCCGACTGTGTCCTTTACCTTCGGGCTTTCGAGGACTCAAAATAGAGTCTAGTCACTCAACTCGACACTGGGCAGAACCACGTGTGCTCATATTCTTTGCCATGCATGCCAGTGTTTACACTGATGCATCAACTTTCAAAAATTGAGCCCAAAAATCCTGATGTTTTTTTGCAACCAGCAACATCTCCTAACTATTACGCAAAAATGTTATCAATTTATTGTCAAAGGTACTTACAGGCTAATCAGATAATATACAAGATCAAATACTTATAAGCTTATCACATAAGCTTTTACCAAGTATTGTGTTTAGTCCTACTTCTACTGCTGACACCTTTCCATTTAATTTAGGCTCTCTTCAGTTGTATTTGAAGCAGTCTCTTGTAAATCTGGGAATGATTTTAGATTCTGATTTGAAGTTTAACAAGCAGATCGACTGATTTGCAGAAAAGTTTTTTTTCTGCTACAGACAGCCAAGCCGATATTGACCAGACCTGACCTTGAGAGAATAGTACATGCTTTTATTACTAGTCKATTAGATCAGTGGTTCCCAAACTTTTTATCTTCTGACCCACAAAATATCCATGGCAAAAACTTGTGACCCCAAATATCTGTCTGGTAATATCGGTTTGAGTACACAAACTTTGTTAATAACCCTAAAATCACAGGCTTTTTGACAATCTAAACAGCTTGTGCACAAAAATAAATACTTATTTATACTTATTTTGCGTTTTTGTAATAATTATAGGGAAAATATTACATCAGCAATTATTTTATTACCCTTTAAATTGATTTCTGGAGATTATCCAAGGTGCTTCATGACCCATAATTGGGTCCCAAGCCCAACTTTGGGAACCAAAGTGCAGTGGTTCCCAAACTTTTCAGCTTTTGACCCACAAAATAACAGCAGCAGAGACCTGTGGCCCCAACTATTTTTGGATGATAAACATTTGTATCAGGTCAATAAACGTGGGCATAGTAACAATATTTTTTTTTTTACTACATTTATCCATTTTTAATATACTAACCTCACTCCTTTGTAACAACTAAGGCAAAAATGTAATTACCGTAATTCAGAAAGTCTTTTCAGGACCCCATCTTGATGTTTCGGGACCCGACCCCAACTTTGGGAAACACTGGATTAGATTACTGCAATGTACTTTATGTTGGGATCAGTCAGGTCTCACTTTCACGTCTTATACTTGTTCAGAATGGTGCAGCTTGACTTAAAACAGAAACTCGTAGGTTTGAGCATGTGTCACCGGTCTTATCCTCCCTTCACTGGCTCCCAGTGCACCATAGAATAGATTTTAAAATTCTCCTGCTCACTTACAAGTGCCAACCTGGCMTTGCACCCTCCTATCTTGCTGATCTACTTCAACCTTWCAGTCCTTCTCGGGCACTAAGATCTTCTAAACAGCTGCTTTTGGTGGTTCCTAAAACCAGGCTGAAACTGAGGGGAGATGAGCTTTTTCAGCTGTGGCTCCCAAGCTTTGGAACAATCTACCCCCAAACGTTAGACAGGCCTCGTCACTTCCTGTTTTTAAATCTCTAATAAAAACACACCTGTTTTCTCATATTTTTGATTAATTGTGAGTTATGTATTTGTTGTTGGTGTTTTATCTTTTATATTGTTAAGAATGTCGTTTGTTTTTATATTGATCTTTGCCTTGTGTTCAGCACTTTGGTGACAACTTGTTTTTAAATGTGCTTTATAAATAAACTTGATGATGATGATGAAGTATGGTAAGTTGGCACTTCTTACCAACCACATTTGGACTCCATTAAATTGTTTATATTTTGTCTAACTAAAATTAAACCACATCACATTTCAACCCAGTGATCTTCACCTCACTCTCATCACGATGTTGTTTCATTAATTTTGATCTTGCYTAAAAGTTTTGAATCCAAGGCTTCTGTGGATTTCAAAAGAGACATCTGATAGTGTGATACTCACAGCAGAATTACAAAGAGTACAGCTGAAACAAAAGTGACGGTGGAGCGTTTAGAGTGCAGGCAGGAAAATATATACTCAATATTTGTTTTAGTAATACCTTAAGGAAATTTTTAAAGCTGAGGAAAAAAACGGTGATTCAACCAAATCACCAGTTTGCATCACTTACAATCTTAGGAATTAACCTTTGTGTTTATAAAAATCTACTTTTTTCTGGTCAATGATTATATTTACTTGGCAGAAAATATGTTCTGCATTTTTTCTTTTTGTAAATCAGCTTTGCTAAAAGAGTATTTGTAAGACGTGGCAGATAATAAAATCCTACCCTTGTGTAAACCCCCTCACTTCTTAACTACTTGCTTACATAATTGATTAACAACTCAGAACACTATTACACAAATTTTGTCAACAGGGAAAAAACAAAAGAACTTGTGATGCTGCTTTAAAATAAATCGGTGTAAACACAGACACCTCCAGCTGCGATTCGCCACATTAACAGATTTGTGGTGCCGTGTGCTACATGCAAAAGCCTGGCCTTGAGGCCGACCTTCAGGCTTTTAAATGAAACTGTGCTGCTTTGAATCTACGAGTCRGTGCGGCAAGACTTCCTCCTTCCGYGGGYTGATAWACAGTCCCGCACAGAAGATACGCACACACAASGCCTGGTAGATTCATGAATGAAGATATTCATCCTGTTGTGCCTGAGCTCAAACTGATCCGAGCAGACTTGGTGTTTGTTTACCTTTGGTATGACTCAACAAAGTGTTTTACAGGAACTGACTTCTGCCAAATGAGAACATGGGTGCAACCTAGCAAAGATCAAACTGAGAAATCTGATCAGTTTCTTTTTTGTCATTTGACCGATAAAAGGCTCTTGCTTATGTCTTTATCCAGAAAAATAATTTGTCAACTTTTAAAGATACCGGCAAATAATATAAAAGGCAAATAACTTCAAAACAAAACAAAATCCACCTAGGAATTGAAA